AAAACTACTGTGTGTCCCTTTGTTTTGATTTCTTCTTAAATATGTTTTCACAGAGGCATAACCACCATCTCCAATTGGCCCAGGTTTGGTCAGTGGCATGTCCGTCATCCTCAGAGCCAACAGCAATCAGCTCTGCTGGACATGGTGGAAGCCTCCAGAAGCTTCTCACAGGAGCCATCTTTTTGGCCCCCCCACTTCCAAAAACTGGGCCAAGCAAAACCAACACACACTGCAGTCAGCCACATTTAGCTTTATAAAGAGCGCTATGCATTATTCAATACATCATAGTACTGTTCTGAGCCAACACAGCTCTGGTGGGTAAGATAACAGACAATTCCCTTTTTTTTGGAAGAATTAACAGTATTTGGTTTTCTGGATGTATTAAGTAGAAGCCCTTCTAACAAGTGCCAGGACTCAGGAAATGATATACAAACAGGAAGTTGTTAATGAGGATTTAAAAGTGGCTCTTTTAAGGATAGGGCTCTGATGAGCCCAGCTAGCAAAACTCTTTGGGAATAAGTAGCTATTTCAGAATTGTCATTTGCATCGTGGAGTRATAACAAATTACTAGTTCTTTTAAGTGTCAAATTATACACAATGTTTCTTTTAACGTAAAATGGCAAGTATCATACCGCTAATATATAGGTAATGGTAATTCACCATGTAGAACTTTAGTCTTACCTTGCCTAGACAAAGAAATAAGACTCTGACAGTATCAATTGAAGTCCTTTCTCTATTTCCATATTCAGCACCCTTAATTATATTCTTCCAGGCCTGTTGAGCAGAAGACTAGAAGCTCCATCTTAGGTGTGGTTAGGTTTTAAAGAACTTTTTCTAGATTGACAATGATATTCCTGATTTTGTTAAAATTTCTGAATATGCTTCAGAGCTCCACAGTTAAGACAGATGCCTAAGTCATTGTTATTATGGTAATAACATACTTGACAGATAAAACCAGTTCCTGGAACTAATTCAGAATAACTTACTTGAGTCTGGTAATCTTGCTTTTCCTGATGCGCATTCTTTGATCTGTGAACTGCAACTTTACAGTACCTGGGTTAGTCACGTTTGTCTGGGTGACTGCTGTACATCATGTGCTCTGTGATTACATCACTASTTATCTTTACTTTGTTTGTGATTAAGTGCTCTGCAGACAGCCATCACTTTTATGAACGGATGTGGCCAATAGCTAACTGTTGGAGGAACAGTCCAGACTATTTCCAAGGCTACAGCTGTTTTTGGTGTTACATCACATGCATATTTGCACACTCCTGCCAGGACAATCAAGTGAGGTGATTTTGGAACAATCAAACAATTTGACTTCCATAATACTTTCTTCTTTTTCTTCCTTAGGAAAAAAGGATTATTGAAATCCTTTTCCGGAACAGAAACCAACAAGATCTGGCCACATATCTATGCTTTCCTTCAAACCAAGTTGCCCGATGTGAGCCAGAAAGATGCTACCGTACCCAGGTGAAAACAGGTCAAACTTCCGTTCATGTGTTTGCTCCCTCCCAATTAATGAGATTCAGCAATCAAGGATTTGTACAAGTAGTCTACCAGACTCATCAATAATTAAAGTCTAATGCTGTCCGTAACTTACATTATGATAAAATTTTGTTGCCTGTGGTTATCACTTTAATGCTGTATTTTTTTATATTAAATATACCTAATTTTACACTACTGTAATTGTCTTTAACAATAGYAGCTACTCTTGTGTCTTGTATTTGGAAATGTTTGCAAATATTGACTGGGAAAGGAAATTTCAGATTTCAGAATACAGCTTAATTAGACAGCACATTGACTGATTTACTCACTCATTAAATGAAGCAATRATAAGACATGAAAACACATTTCTTGAACATGTGCTTAGCTGGGGCTAGCTAGAAGCTGTGAAGAACCATGACCACAAGTCTTCAAAAATCATTTCAGACCAGAACTGGCACATCTGTRAATTGATCTTATTTACCTTATAGGTTTGCTTGTACGGATGTTAGCTGGTTTTATTGGCTTAAACTACACTTAGTAACAGGGCAAATCATCTAAGCAAGTATTATATTTCTGCCCTCAGAGCRCCTATCTTGCAGGCATGGGAGATGGAGTTTCAATTATGTGTAACACATTTGGTAAAGCCTCTGCCTTGTAACTGTGTAAGACTTTGTCAGTAAGTGCACATACACAACAGATTAAATGTAATCTGGTAAACCTGTAGCTAGATGATCTTGACCAGTGAATGTGTCTTTTCTACTATCTTTTGAAAACAGCAYGTGCTCACTGATGCCAGTGCCAGCGCCCCACTTTTCTAGTGGTCAAAATATAACTTTGCTATATTACGGTAGCAATTTTTATTGTAGCAATTGGACTGGTTTTCATAAGATTGTCTTTGACCAGCTCTTGCATTTATTCACTAGATAACTGGAATTACAAACCTCCACATTTTTTGACAACTCAGGTAATGCAGACATTGCTATTTTTTAGTGAATTCTCCCAGCCCTTTTTTTAATGCTCACCAGACTGAGAGTTTAAAGAGTCAGCAAAACGTGAAGAACAAACAGCTATGCCTAGGTGATCTCTGAAGTAGCTGCTTCCTAGTAATGCAGGTTCTAATCTCCTTTAGCAGTGACTAAACAACTAGAGTTGGTGTGTTTACATACCTTGGATTGCACTTGCACATCCAGTTTTAGATTATCAGTATTGAGACACATTTGAGTATAAAAAAGAGATGGTCATTGTAARATTTGTAGTTTTCCCATTACTATAAATAAACAATATGAACAGCAGCTATCACTACAATTGGTTTTCCTTATATTTACAAGAAARGATGCCAAGAAGGTTGACCACTTGTACTGTTCTGTTGAGATATGTCTACATATTACTTTGAGAAACCCTAATTTGCTGCTTACTTACATGTTCACATTTTGGTTTCAATAAAAACCAGAGGGTTTTTTTGCCAAACTAGAGAAGTTTCAGTGAGCTAGAAGCAGTAGGGGGAGAGAATCTCCTTGTTATTTGACACTTATTTCCACACCATCCAATTTTATCCCCTTAGAAACTTAAAAAAAATTTACTGTATAACAGGTTACTAGATCAATAGCTCTACTGTTACGGGTAGCAACTGCAAGTCACTGTGCTACACTGCCCTAACTACCCTTGCATGTAACATTCAGTTAAAAAACAACCTGAAGTTACTAGTTTTCCCTTGTTTCCCTTAATAATTAACTAATTATTAAGGAGGAGGCAGTGTTACTTATCCTTATTGAAGTAACTGTCAAACTTAAAAAATACAAGTTTCTGCTGGATCTGGTTATCACCAGTTTGCATATGGGACAGAACTGCTCCATGCTCTTTTATCCTCAGTCTGTCTGCAAAAGAAAGCTAGAGAACACAAGTCGCACGAAAAGCTACTGCATTTGTCCTAGTATTCTGGTATATTCTGCAGACTTACTTTTCCATGTCTTGGCTGTAGGCAAAGCTGAAAATTACTGGGTTCTGTTTCACAGAATCATAGAACCATTAAGATTGGAATAGACATCCAAAATCATCAAGTTCAACCTCTGACCGATCACCACTCTGTCAAATAAACCACAGCACTCGGTGTCTTGTCTAGTAATTTCTTGAATACTTGCAGGGATGGTRACCCCACCAATTCCATGGCCAGTCTATTCTAATGCTTGACAATCCTTTCAGTGAAGAAATGCCTCCTTGATCCCCAACTTGAACCTCCCCTGGAACAGCTTGAGGCCATYTCCTCTTGTCCTGCTGCTGGTTGTGTGGGAGGACAAACCCCACCTGGCTACAGCCTCCTTTCAGGAAGGTGTGGAGAGTGATAGAGTACCCCTTACCCTCCTCTCCAGGCTAAACAACTCCAGCTTCCTCAGGAGCTCCTTATAGGACTTTACTCCAGACCCTTCATGAACCTTCTCTGGTCAGGCTTCAGCATCTCAGTGTTGTTCTTGCAGTGAGGGGCCCAAAACTGAACACAGGATTTGAGGTGTGGCCTCACCAGTGCCCTGGCCCTGCTCGCCCCACTGTTGCTGGTMCAGGCCAGGATGCCATTGGCCCTCTTGGTCACCTGGGCACAGCCTGGCTCATGTTCAGCTGCTGTCACAAGCACCTCCCAGTCCTTTTCCTGGGGCTGCTTTCCAACRAATCTGCCCCAATCGCTGGCAGTGCCTGGGGTTGTTTTGCCTGAACTAAAAACTGGAGGGAGACTGTGATCCCTGAAATTTTGAAAACAGTATGCCTCCCAGACCTTCTGTACAATCAGAACAATTCAGTAAAGAGTGGAGAGTGTGTACTGATACCATTAGCTGAGGCATGAGCTGTCTTTGCTGGAGTCTTCCAATTGCAGTATACACTTTTATGRACAGACCAGCAGTTCGAAAAGCACAGAAGAGTTCTTGAGTGCAAGGCTCTGTGGAAGACCGTGTCTAGAATTAATATTTGGATTTACAGCTTCTCAAACAGGAAGCTTTTAATAATTTTCCACTTTATTGTTTGAGTTGACAACGTCAGAAACCAACTTCTTTTTAGAATGTATGAAGTACCTTTCAAACACTGCATGACACCTTACCCAATATGACCAGTGACACCCAGTGAAAAGCTTTGTGTTTAAACTGAAGTCGTACAAAGGTTAGGCTATCTCAAGTTCTCTTCATCAAATCCTTCTATCATAATGAGACTTGATTTAAAAAAACAGAATCTGAAGTTACCCTTATGAACAAGAGAGTCAGACTCTCAGGAATCATACAACTCAGTACTCATTTGTAGACAAGTGTTGCTTATGCTTTAGGATTAAATCAAGTTAATGTTTAATGAAAGTACAATATAACATTTAAATCCCCTTCGTAGAGGTAGAAAGTCAGTTTTTAAATCTAATCCATTCAGATCAGAAATACTGATACCAGATACTGATTTATTGCTATTAGTGATAACCAAATTTGAGAGCTTATATTGTCAGCAAGGTAGCATGAATACAGTTGCAATCTCCAAGATTCAGAGTAAAACATATCCACATCTGTAGTAAGACAATAGCAGATTCTACCAAGAATCTGTTGCTTCTTGTAAACATTGTATTTGTGCAGATGTTTAATTTCTATATTCATGAAAGGCAAGGTTAGTAGCAGAAAACACATCCAGTTTCACATTCGGCAATGTAAGAACCCTGCTCTTCAAGGACAACTAAAAACCTAGCAGCACATTTCAAACAATATTACAAGTTTTTTCTTAATTACCCACCCTTCAAAGTTGCTCCCCGCAAACCAAATACAACCAACAAAAATCTGACACGAAAAATAAAGTGCAGTACCCAGAAAAATAAGTGTCAAAAAATAGCCATGTTTGTTTCTTTGGGAAAAAAAAAACAAAGTGGGAAAAAAAAGAGTACTTGGCCTCAGTCTTAAAAGTACTATAATGTGTCCATCATTTTGGATTCTTCTTCATCTCTTTGTATCACAGAGTTGAAACTGCAGACRTCTGTGTTTATGGAACCCTGTAGATCTCCGGTGTTCTGCAACAGATGAAAAACTGATAGCTTAATACTCTGTAGTTGTATATATGGAAAGACAAACAGAGAAGCCTGCTTGTGTTGTCCATCTTAAGACAAATTTGCAATGAAAAGGAAATAAGCTCTGAAAAAATCATCAACTAGTATTATCTCACTGTGTCAAGAATCTGTAAAATTTGCTATCATAGCTTGTATTTAGTCTGAGTATTTCTAGCACCTACCTGCACATTTACACAAAATTCACTGTTTGATCTTACCTCTGAGAGGTACTTTAATCAAATTATTTCAAATAAATACTTTCATTTGTGACTTCATTCCTAATACATAACTTTTGACAACCTTTTTAGTTGTTTCTACATGCCAGAATGTGTCCATAACTGATGGAACTGTAAAAAAAGACCTGAGGATGCTCTGTTTCCTTTTATCACAAATGGAGACTTTCCTTAGGCTTGACTTCTCTTGCCCAGAGAAGTCATGGGGTCTCTGACAGTGTTCAAGGCCAGGTTGGATAGGGGCTCAGGGCAACCTGGCCCAGTGGGAGGCATCCCCGCCCATGACTGGGCATTTGGAGCTAGATGATCTGTAAGCTCCCCTCCAATTCAAACCATTCTATGATTCTGTGACTTATTTGACTGATCCCATGATTTTACAGTGCTTGTGGTGACAACAGGGAATACAATTTTAGCATCAGATTAGTTTTACCATGCAGTGTTTATTTTAGACATTAAACTGTAAAGGCACTGAACAAACATATGCTTTTGACCTTAAGCTGATGCTGTGTGAACTCCAGCAAGTAAAAAGAAAGCCCATGTATACCTTGTGTTTTAATAATGCTGCATGATATATCCCAAACACTAGCAATTCTACAAATAATCCTCTTTATATCTCAGAAAGGTACAGCTTCTTTAGGCAGGACCTAATCCCCAAAATTAAATTAATTTCTAGAAATAATAAATCTACCTGTAAAAAAGACGTCCACTCTCCCACACAACCAGGATTCACATTGAGATCATGGAGTAACATAGTTTGAAAGCCATGTGATTGTGACCAGATTCTCACTCTCGTCTTGAATGCCTCAAGTTCATTTTTAAAGGCCTCAAAGTACCCTTCTCCTGTCTGCAAAGAGAAAAATATTTGTCCTTCAGCCAGATTTACTTTTGAGTTGTAAGCATACACAGTACTGAAAAAATCCATGCAGTAACRCATGTTATACCTTTTGGGGAGTAATTGTGAGAAACTCAGGAATAATGTTAGTCAGTTTAAAATTACATTTCCGGTAGCTTTCTTTTTAAGACAATCTGTAGCATTTATATGTAGAAGTGACTGAATTATCTAAGGACATGTAGAACTAAATCTAATTTTAGTCTTTCATTTATTCCATTTCAGATGGACTAAGGTAAGATAAGGTATCCTTACAACAGATGCTTGTTGAAGCCCATTAGTCAAAAGTAAAGCACAAACTGTCTCGCATTTTAACTACACTTCTTTAGGCAATATTAAGATCCATTAGAATCTTGAACAGCTGAACACAGTCTACAGTAAACCACAGCTTCAGTTTTTCCACCTTTCTCCTGCACAGCTCTGGATTGCCCTRTTTCAGTAATGAGAAAGGGACACTATTTTGGACCTCACTCTAAAGGKCAGATAAAATGGAAAAGTGTTAACAATATGTAATTACACTTGGAAAAAACGCATGTAATTAGACAAAAGTCAGACCCCAGTTTAAGTCAGCCTGTGTCTGCTGTTGTTTATTTAGTTATTACTTGTCTGTAACACACYTGTTGTCCCCCTGCTGCATCTTGCTTTCCACCTGCAACAAGCAAAGTCCACTAAACTTTCATTTTCAGAACTGGAATTACAACAAAGTATTCTGTCTAGAAAATAACTGCTAACAAAACACTATCCCATGAGCCTAAATGAGTAAAAAAAATATTTAGCCTCATATGGTTAAATAGAAATCTCTAAAACACTGATCTCTTGTACATAAAGAGCATAAAAAGCATAAAGAATTCCTCACATCATGACCCAAGTTGACTTACTTTGGCTTTTTGGAAAAAGAGACGAAAACATCCTCTTGGATCCACATTGCAGCTTCTCGCAATTTCTATAATAAACTGCATTACAACTGCTTGGTGTGCTACTTGCTCCATCAGAGCTCTTTTCTGAAAAGGAAAAATAAAAGAAGAAAAGAAAAAGTTGAAGTTCCAATTTAAAGAAGTTTCCTGTGATTGTATTTCTAAAATTCAGTAAAATTTCCTTTTGCTCCAATTCCTAAACAGATGAGAACTGATGCTYACAGAAGCAAGAGAACTCATAATTAGCTATAACTAGACATAAATGTGACAATACACTATCAGTAAAGTAGAGAGGGTTGGACAAACAATTCAACAGCTAATGAAGTTGGTCATCTTTCTTATAGTGCATGTGGGGAAATGTATTTTTCAAAGAATTCAAACATCTTCATACCTGTTCAGCTTCTAGATGAAAACACCACAACATGAGATACCTAGATGTTTCTTCACATACAAGATATGGGTGATCAGACAAAAACCTTTGACTATCATCCCATCTGCTCAGCATGCCTAGTAAGACAAACACAGTTAAGATATTCTAAATGGATAAATGATATAACGCAGCAAKGAAATTACTTGCATTGAAACCTTGTATACATAACAACTGGGCAATTCACTAACCTCAGAATGACAGCATGCAGCTAAATTTGGGGGCTTTATTAATACATCTAACCAATGCTGAAAGAGCATGACTGAAGGCATAAATAAACTTCAAAGATACTAAAAGTAGATTATAACATTCATTCATTTTTAGCATCATTTGATAAGTTATTTTTAATCMGTTCTTATACACTAACAAAGTGGTGTAGGTATCTATTACTTACAACATCAACTATCTTAAAAAGTTTATGGATAGAGATTCACATTAAGTGATTATGACAAACATAAATCCTCTAAACATTTGCAAATAAAAATGCAAGGAACAGAWCTTGTAATCTGTCAAAAATTAAAGTGCTTCTAATACACAATTTGCGAGATTTTTAGAAAAATTCAAATTAATTATAAAAGCAGCTTGATCTCAAAAAACAAAGCCACATCAGTGTTGGAAAATTAATTAGCACTTTGAATTGTGTTATCATGACACTACCTTAATGTAACAAGCCGAGTTTAAAAATCAGAATTCAATACTCAGAGCACTTAAAGCTGTCCTTCAAGTATCACTGACAGTCATTACTGGCAACAGGTATAGCAGACGTACAGCTTCACCCGTCTATCAGCATWTAATTATAACTGGGCTAAAGATAATTCAATGCTAATGATCTAAGCCAATATTAATTCTAGCAAACAAATGCCTACAGAGAAAGCAATAGCTTATATTTCTTTTTACTGTTTTCCAGTTATTCCATGTAAGTTCTTTATTACTTTGAAGTCAGAGCAAGATCCAGAAACAGGACTTATGTAATATGGCTAGCCAAGTCTACACTGCCCTTGGCAGCAGCTAGCATGGAACAAGTGACTTTAGAAAGCATTAATGTACTGTAGCTTTCACAATGGCCTTAAGTATTCAAATTAAAATAATGACATGGCTTTGAATTCAGGAGATAYAAAACTCATCTTCTGTAATATGGTTGCTTCTACAACAGTTTAAATTGAATATAGATAAATAAATTTATCTTTTTTTTTTTACCTGCTCAAATGCACATCAGGGGAGATGTCTTCTGATTCCAGCATCATTACACTGAGCAGTTTGTGTACTTGACAGAACCTATTACTGCTGTTGACATACTCTGACAGTGTATGACATACTCAACTTGGTACTTGCAAGGCTTGCTAACAGGGCTCAAAGCCCTTTCTTTACAACAGCTTTAAGACCTTCAGTAATGGCTTAGTAAGAACTAAGCCAATTCAGTCCTGTTCTTGATTGTTCTGGAATTCCAGATATGGCTGTCCTATACTATAGTCTGAAACCAGCCTGGATGGCAAGCGCTCCAGAGAACCATCGAAATTTCAAACTACTTTACAAGATCAGCTTTGTGTTTAATTGGGTTCAACAATTATGACAGASCTAGTGACATCTAGTGGCTAATTAAGTATAGTTTTAAACACACAATTCTGAGCACACATACTCTCGGTGAAGGTGTTTACAAACGTGTCCATTTAATCAGCCTTACCCTTACAGCTTAACAGAGAGACAGAAAAACATTTAATAAAACATTTAATCTCCTTTAACTAAAGGAGAAATCTACAGACAATCCATGTACTTTTATATACATGACTTMGATTATTACGAATGTTCCTGCCTTTTCCCACTGGCGTGGAATATTCCTTTGTCCTGATAAAATAAAATGAACAGTCTGATAACTAAGTCTTTCATTTATCAGCATTTGTTCTCTACAAGAAGGAGCAAACCAGCACGAACTCTGTAGGAACTGCAAAATGTTGGATAAACAGACTCACCAAAGTGTCTAATCTTTTGTTCATGTTTTTGCATAAGTGGTTCAGACACAGCTTCATCTTCAATTTCTTTTCTTTTTTGATTAATAAAACTCTGAGGAAGAGAAAGATTGTATTATCACAAACTCTACACATACTGGTCAGTGATATAAAGGAGTATTATATTTCAACATGTTACTTTTTTAAGAGCTATGTTCTAATTTTACAGTCATACCATAAGAAGGTTTTCTTTTATAAAGTGAATTACCTAGTAACACAATTTCAAAGTCTCATTACAGTCTCTGAAAAACTTCTGTTTTCAGACAGGAACATATAGATCTGGTAGTCATGAGAATCATATACATTGCAGCCTAGATCAGCTGAATCAATGAAATTTGGAGATGTGATAGTGATCCCAAAGTGATTTTTGCTTTTATATGTTCTTCATATATATTTGTAACTCTGTAGCCTAATATTGTATAACTGCATAGATTCATAGCTAGCATTTTACCTACTCTGTTAGAAAGAAAGCCAAAACACATTCCTAAAGGCCCAACCCTAATCTTGGTTTTTGTGAGAACCAAAGTTGAGCCAACTTCCCATAAACAACTAGGGAGGAATAGGGGCTTCAGAAGAGGGCCAAACCACAGACGGGGAATTACCTCAAAACCTGTGTTTCTAATTGAGGAYCCTTGTCAATTATGTTAATTCACTAAACTTATAAAACTGTGCTTGCTCTATGTCACGTGTGCACATTTGGTGCATTTTCAGCATGTATTTTGGCGTGTTGCGCACCTGAAGGGTGCCTTCATAAAAGGTRACTTCATAAAAAGGTAACCTCATTTATCATCTAACCATGCCTGGSACATAATTTTAGGGCTCAGAAAAAGGCAACAATAGCTGTTGAAATTAAATTCTGAAATTAAGGATGAGATTCTACTATWAAAAAAAAGTTCATACTAAATAATTTGTATTACAGTAGACAGAATTAGAGGCAAACTAACAGTTTCATATTCTGGGTTGGATGGGACATTTAAAGATCATGGAGTTTCAACCTTCCCTGCCACAGGCAAGAACATCTTCCACTGGATTAGGTTGCTCCAAGACCAATCCAATCTGACCTCTGTTGCTTCTAGGGATGGGGCATCCACAACTTCCCTGTGCACTCACAGCCCAGAACCTGTTCCAGTGTCTTGACACCCTAATAATAAAAAAAAGTCATCCTTATTCCAATTTAAACACACCATATTTCATTTTAAAGCCATTCCCTCTTGTTTTATCACCACAGGCTGTGATAAAAAATGTTTCTCTCAATCTTTTTTATAAGGCCCTTTTAAGTATTGAAAGGCCACATTAAGTTAAGTAAGGGGTCCCCAGACCCTTCTCTTCTTCATACTGAACAATCCCAGCTCTTCCARCCTTTCCTCAYAGGGAAGGTGCTCCAGCGCTCTGGTCATCGCTGTGGCCCTCCACTGGAGCCGCTCCAACAGGAGTCTTTCTTGTACTGGGGACCCCCACAACTGGGTGCAGCACTTTGGGGGTGTGTCTCGGGAGAGCAGGGAGGCAAAATCTCCTCCCTGGCCCTGCTGCCCACTCTGCTTTGGATGCAGCCCAGGACACGTTTGGCTCTCTGGGCTGTGAGTGCACATGGCTGAGTCACATCCAGCCTCTCACCCAGCAGCACCCCCAAGTCCTTCTCATCAGGGCTGCTCTGATCTGTCCATCCCCAGTGTTCATACCAAGGATTGTCCTGACCCAGGTGCASCACCAGCACTTGGTCTTATTAAACCTCATGAGATTCCCATGGACTCACTTCTTGAGCTTGTTCAGTCCCTCTGGTAGGCTTCCTTCAGGTCTGATTACTGTACCACTCAGCTTGGAGTCATCTGAAAACCTGCTGACTGCACTTGATTCCTCTGTGTAATTCTAAAGAAGATATTAAATAACACCTGTCCCAACTCAGACCCCTAAGGGACACCACTTGTCCCTGATGTCTGTTGGGATTCTGAACCATTGACCATTACCCTTTGCATGACATCAACCAACCACTTTCTAATCCACCTAACAGTTCACTCATTAAATCCATCTCTAAAGAGAGAAGGATGTTGTAGGAGATCACATCAAAGGCTTTACAGAAGTCCAGAAAAATGACATCTGTAACTCTTCCCTTGTTTACHGATGCCATCACCCCATCAAAGAAGGCCACTGAATTTGTCAGGCAGTGGTGCAGCCATGCTGACTGTCCCATATCATGTTCCTGTGTGTTAGCACAGCTTTTAGGAGGGTCTGCTCCATGATCTTCCCAGGCACAGAGGTGAGGGACATACTGTGTTTTTGTGCTGCACAAGACACAGAAGACACTAAGAGACAAAGTCTGGCACTTGTTTCATGCACACAGATGTAGATCATACCTTATTAAAAACTTCTTTACTAACAGGATCTGTGTTCCATAGATTCTGTCGTTCCCTCTGGTTTAGTGCCTCTTCTTTTCTTCTCCACTCTTCCTCTCTCCATCTCAAYTCGGCAGCTTCTGTCCTTGCTTGAGCAGATTCCTGATCACAGGATTCTGAATTATGCAGTGCTAAACTACCAAATTTTTGCTGGGCTTCTGCTAGGTTCCATGTGCATTCTACAGAGTGCTTCACAAACTCTCTTTCTTTTTGGCAGGCTAATTCAATCCCTTGGCTGTATGTCTGTGAGGAAAATCAGACACGCTATTTATGGAGAGAAAATTGTTGGTTTACAGTTTCCATAGAAGCAGACTGGCCTAAATCCCAAAGATAATAATAATGCACCTGGAAGGCACTTTAGATATTCAGCAATATAATAGCAGAAGTCATGAAGCATGGTAATGCATAGCTATGTCTTTCAGAAAGATTTTTCAAATTCAAGACACCTTAATTTTGTTAAATATATWTCCAAAATCATGGATCATGTGCTGCTGTCAGTAATAGTCTCCAGAATGTAAAAGTATTTTTGACACAGCTGAAACCCCTCTGGCTATCTTAAGGCTGGAACATTAGCAGCAGCTAAATGTAAGAATACTCTGAATATACACCTCTGATAAGAAAGTATTAGTTTTGTGATGTCAGATCACAACAGCAAACTGATTGCTGCTGCCTGCATTTCAGCATTAGTACCTAAATAAATGGCCAACATCTTCCCTTGAACTGACACTGGAAGTGGTATTTAAGTTACAAGGTGGCCAAGGCCCAGCATAAACACAAACATGCTCCTTTTGGTCAACTCTGTTGAGGATGACACCCCTCATAGCTGGGAGAAAAAACAAAAAGACATCTTCAGCAACCCTTTTTGTATTGCTTCTAGATGTGTGCTTGGAATTTACACTYAGTAATTAACGAAATTATCCTCTATAGAATACGTCATGCCTTTCCCACCAAGAGCGAAGCAAAAAAGCAACCAYATGCATTAGTTCCTCAGCCTTCCACTGCCACGTTATGAAATCTGCAGTGCTGATAACCTCTGGCAGGGGCATACGAAGGACAGTTTGTGGAAAGAGTATCTGAAAGTAACTTTAATGCAAGTAAATCAAACTTACTGTCCCAACTTTTTCTGGGTATTACAGAATTTTTATTTCTGCAGTAATAATAAGAAAATCCCACCGTTTGGAAAAGTAACGTAATGGCTGCTTCTTGCGAGAAGACACAGAATTCCTTTAAACGCGTTTATAAACCGCCGCTTTGCCGTGGCCAACAGAGAAACACACCGCCTACCTACCTGCTCCTCGGGCACGGGGACGCTGGGATAACTCCAACCCAGCTCCTTCCGCATCGCCTGCCCGCGGTGGAGCTGTTACCCGGGCGGGCGGTGCCAGACCGCGCCCGTCCCCGCCTGCCCTCACAGCCCCGCCGGGCGCTCCCGCACGCCCCCGCCCCGGCACGGGGACCCCGTCCCGCCACCGCCCCCTCCGCGGGCCGCCCCGGCACCGACCCACCGCCCCCGGGGGCGAGACGCGCTAAGAGGGGCCGGAGCAGCGGGGCCGGAGCCACGGGCATACCTGCACCTCCGGCAAGCGCTGTCGGGAGGCGGCAGCCTGCGCCCGCTCCTCGTCCTCCTCCTCCGGTGCGCCGCCGTCCCGGGAGCGCGGCAGCCACAGCGCCATGCCCGGTGCCGTCCCGGCGGCGCGTCCCGTTCGCCGGAACTGGGGCAGCGACACTTCCGCCGATCGCAGCGCGGGAGGAGCGAATGCCGGGCGCGCCTCAGGGCCGGCGCTCAAGGCAGCGCGCCGGGAGGGCGGGCACTGCCGCGGCTCCGCCTCTGACCCTGCTCCTCCTCTGGCCCTGCCCCTGGCTTTGCCCTGACCTTGCCCCCCTACTGTGCTTGACGCTGCTGCTGTCCGTGCCTTTCCTTGCCCCTGCCTGTGCCGTGCCGCTGGAATGTCGGTCACTTTCCTGCAAGCTGCCGCACGGCGCCGGCAAACTACACGTGTATGTGTGTACATGTATACGAGAACCTTCAGTCCTAAGTATTCCTGGGGTGCTGTCTGGGGTGTTTTAACAGCTTGTTTTTCTTCTGGGAATGGAAGTTAGCATAAAATGAGGCCATACCTTTGCGATAACACCCCTGTAAAGATTAAAATGTGCTCTGGTTGTAGCCCAATTTCCTCACCCACCATGGCTTGGTTATATAGCTCTTCTTCCAAACAGGAGCTCTGACTGGCTATTTGGAAGACTCAAGTGTAAAGTCTGCCTGAAAAAGATGCCARTAACTTTTAGATAAAATGGGAAGGTAGGGGGCTTGTTGCTGCGCATTTAATGAAAGGATTACTGCAGTGGTGCAAGTGGGTGTACTAGCATGTTGCTCACAACTGTTCTCCCCATCAGATAGAAGAAAAGAATTACGGTTTTCTTTCAATCATTCTCTTGTAATAATCAAATGTTTTTGTGTAATACTAAGGTCTATGAATTCTTACATGGGATGTTAAAAGCCAAAAATACAAAATGAGAGAATTCATAATGATAGATGTTAATCTGGCACCCTTTTGAGGCTATCAATGATACATCCAAGGGCCACTGAGTCCCTTCTGAGATAGGATCCTGCACACTTGGACTGATGCATGCCCTAAGACTGGACCAAAGAGTCTAATGCGAATGTATACTTTTCTTTCCTAAGGTAACATTGCCTGGTGTGTTTCTGGCTGAGAAACCGACATTTTTCTCAATTTGTGTGTCTTGGATCAACACAAAAATGCAGAATGAATGCCTGTTCTGCCTCCTTTTTTCCCCCTCTGATCTCATAAGGTGTGATTTGAAAAGGTGGCTTTGGTTTGTTGGATGCCTTGGGCTAAAAACTGACTTTTCAAGTCTTGTACAAAATGTAATTCATGAGTAATCTTGTTTTTCTTTACAAGTGTAAATTATTCTTGTTTTACATGTAGTTCAACATGATATGATTCATTATTAGGCCTGATGCCTTAGGATTTTTAGCTTCTATATTTTCATGCGTCTGTATTCTCTAGTACAACACTAAAACAACCATTCTCCCATCTTTAGACAAAACAATCCCTCTCTGAGCCTGAATCCAAGGACACTTCGCTGCCTCAGAGCCCCAAAATATGTAAACAGTGAGCTGGGGRGGGAAGGGAGCAAGTTTGTGGTGGTTGACATAATAACCTGAAGATCATTGGAGAATTAAGGCCCAATATGTTAATAAGGCAGAATTTATAAAAGGTGAAGATCTTGTGACTCTGTGTCAATTTTGGGTGTAGCCTCAGGAGGAGGCTTTTGTCKGCCCTTAATGTACCAGTAGGCCTATTAGGCCTGTGTTAAAGTTGTCTATTCTCATTCTCTTAAGTTTGTCTGGCCTCTGTTTCAGGTGAGCCTAATGGATAAGGCATCAGGCCCATTGCTCAAACAGAACTTTAAATTTTTTTCAGATTTTGTCATCTAGAGCTTTGACAGAAGTGGTAATGTGASTTCATCTCCCACGTGGATCATTCTTACCTAATCTCAGTAATAGAAACAGTTTATATGAGACTAATTGAAGTTATTTTAATTCAGATATGATTGATCTGAGATCAATATGACACCTCAGTTATAATATGACTATTGTCTGTTAAGAATTTTGTTTTTATAAAAGTGTGTGATGTAAATGAAGATCCAAATAAATGACAGACAAGTGCTTTGCTGCCATTTTACAAGTCACCCTAAGACCTGGARCTGCTGAGAGCAGGAGTCTTTGGAGTGTTTCTTTTTCTTGTATGTTACTATATGTTATTTTTCATGTTTGAAGGTGGTTTTAAAAAATATTGTGTAAGACAGAATGGCCATGTCTACTGAGAAGCAGACCCATGCTGAGGCCATTGCAAAACAGGAATGCAAGAAGTTTAGAGGAACAGTATATTCTTATCTATTTGCTCCAAAGCCTTCTCAATTGTTTTTCAAGTTAGTCCCACTATCTGTGTGTTTCGCTGAAATTGTTTACGTCTGGTTCTCAAGAGGCCTTTCTTTGAGCAGCATGATTTCCTTTCCCCTGTGGTTATCCTTGACACAAGTAACTACRCATGGAAGCCACAAACTATACTTCTCATTAAGGCTTTTTCCCTTTCTCAAAGCAAACAGCCCTGAGCACATGACTTTTTGTTCTCTGTGCGATAGAACCCCACAGTCATGTTATGACCAGAAATGGGAAATATAACCCACTTCCATGGAAGAGTAGTTTTCTCATATATTTACTTAACCCTAGGAAGAGCATGAAAGCAATTAAYGTGAAGTAGATGTTGTTAGGTAAGTTCATCTTTTGTCTTACCTCCCATTAGGCTGTTGTTGTGCCTGTGACCTTTGTTAGTAGGTGGTGATGAAAAAGAAGCACTAAATTTTCTTAGAGAAAACATGACTTATATCAGCCTCCTTAAAAAAAGATTATTGACAATATACTGCCTGAAAACACTGCTATCATTTGAAGAAGGATGTTGATGCATTTAAAAAAAAAAGACAAAAAAAAAAAAAAAAAAAAAAAAAAAAAAGCAACAATCACTAATAAAACATGCGGAATGCAGCTGAAAGCAGCTTCTTTAAATAGGTAGAAAAGTAGAATGTCCAACATTAATGTCCAAATCAAATCAGTGGTAAAGTTCCCACTTACTTCAAAGGGGTCAGAATTTCACTCCAAGGTGTGGAAAGGGTATTTCAATAAGACATAATTCATTGTAGTAGTAAAATAGGCAAGAAATAAAGGAAGACAAATGCATTTGAATTTGTTTCTTAAAAGGCATTTCATAGGTGATAATTGATTTTGTAAGATATTCAGACAAGCTTTACATAATACACAGAAATACAAAGGAAAAATTCCTTACATTTTCTCATCTGTCCATAATCTCTGTGGAAAATTACTRTCCTTTAAGGTATTTTCAGTTAGGGATTTTAATCTTTTGTTCTGGSATGTGTCCTATAGCATTGGCCAAGAATTCAAGTGTTTTCCAAACATAAATTTCCTATTAGTACTTGTGGTTCTCCTGGTTTACAGTTCAAAGAATTGCATTTGCAGTACTGTAGACCTGATTTCTTTTCCTACAATGTACAGACTGTTCTGAAGTTGATGCAGATATGAATGAATATGTAATTTCAGCTTTGTTTTGTCCAAAATATTGCATAACTTTAAAAAAAATGTAAATCACATCTTAAATTACACAATCATATATATTATTAGTTAATATTTTATTTTTATCAGTGGCAGCTTGACAAAAAATACAGGAGTTATTTTGAATAGATATTAAAGTGTTCTTGGGAATGCTAGTTCATTTAATTAGTCCATGTTATAATGAATCTATTTACTTCTTACTGTTTTCCTTAAGGCGTTTGAAAGTGTCATAGATCCTGCTGCAGAGAGAAAAATACAGAAAGTAAGTATGATTTTTAAAACACTTGAACAGTTGAATAACTAAAATTGAAAAAGTAGGTCCATGTATCCACATAGTGAGTGTGTTTCTCTGTCTTTCCAAAGTACATGACCTGGTACATGTCGGTCCTCTTTTATGTTGTTCTGATTTGAACCGTTYGAATATCAGCCTTTATAAGCAAGCTCCTCTCAAGTCAATTACATGATTTTTCCATTCTTAGGACAGGCTGTGTTCTGACACCTAGTGTGACACACTAGGCTAACTTGACACTGTGCATTTTATTTTTCTATCAGCAATTCTGCATTTTGAAGTCTGTGACAAGTCATGTCACATTTAATGGTTAGGCAGTCTTTTAAAAGTCAAAATCTATTGTTTGTAGGGGATGGGGGAGAGAAAAAATTATGTAGAACAATGACCTGTCTACATTCTGTTTTGTCTTTGCTTGCAAGCTTTGGTCAGACTCCTTCAGTCATATCTACAGAAACACATTGTTTTTAAAAATATTTTCATCCCTTAGCTTTGATTCATTTGGAATTCGTTTGTCTTAGCTGGATTTCAGGTTTTTATCCTTCTGCAGCAAGTCATTCCTGTATAATCAACCAAAGGTCAAGTAGTTGCCACTGATTGTCCCATTGACTTGGTGGATTATAAATTCATTAGATGTCAATCACAGAGATTGATTGTGCTGATATTTCTTTCATGTCTGTTTCTATTCTAATAATAATAATATTAGAACAAATATGCAAGGAAACAAAGTAGAAAGTAGCCCTGCCTTCATCTCCTTTCTTGTCTATCATTTATCCACTCTTTGATTCCTTTGCTGTCTTTCCTCCATCCCTTTCTGTTAGGGTAGCTTTTGATTGCTGTTCCAGGTGTAAATCTATTCTAATTATTCAGCCACACTGCTATAGTTTGTTTTTCATCTACCTGTTAATGTAATAAAGTTTTGATTAACTCAGGTTGTGTCTTCAGGAATGGGCAAGTAAATATTTTTCCAAAACCTAATTAATTTGAGACTATAAAGGATATTAATATGTGCTAGATTTATGTCGTGCCACCCAGTTTTCTCTCCTTCGTAAATTTAAGGACCTCCTCCACTGCTATTTCCTTCTACTCTATCATTTCCTGTATATTGAGTAGAAAAAAAGTTCTTTTCTGATTGCACTCCTTTGTTAGGATCAGTCGTGATGCTTTCATTTTTTCACCCTAATTTTCTTATTTCTGATAGCAGTCGAGTTTGCTGGTTACATTCAGCTAGATCACAAATAATTAGGTAGAGTTCATCTTGGCAGGTGGTCTTCTTCAGGCTTCATGTTTTGTGTTCTTGTAAGATGGGAAAAAGGCAA